AAGACCGTAGTTGATTTTTATCTACATGAGCGGAGCCAAGGGTTTTACGCTGACATATACAAACTCAACGATGATATGCATTTGTTGATTGAACGGTCTTGGTGGGGTGTGTTATTAGGGGTTGAAGACAATGTCTATTTCGATGAAGGTAAGTCTTATATTTATTCTTATATTTCATTTTGATTAATTTTTTTTAAAATTTATGTAATTCACTAATATATGTCTTTTTTTTGTAAAACATCATATTGATGCATGTGTGTCACATCTTCTAATAGTAAGAAAATTGAAGAAAAATAAAAAAAATACGCGATATACAATTATGCCGACGTCTTTTCACGTAGTTCACTTGAAGAATCAACGATATGAATCATATGTGTTGGCTAATGGACAAGCTAAACTTTATCCTGCATAGTGTGAGGTCGATAAGGTTAGTATTTATTTGTTTAAATATTTTAAAGGTGTTCATAAATAAGTGCGCAATTTGAATTATTACATTTCGATGCAGGTGTTTATCCATGTTTCGGAACATACTCATTGGTTTCTCGTCGAGCTTCATCTCCCATCCCTAAAGACAATAGTATATGACAGCATGATAAATTACATATCATTGTCTGATTTGAGAGATATTATTAAGGGATGGAGCTCTCATTGGCTAAATTCTTGGATGCGAACAAACGCCGAAAGCCAGAGGGGATTGTGGTCCTCTCATATGCATGTGCTTGGAGCGTTTGACGACAGGAAGTACACAGTTTCTACCTCTCACTGATAGAGATAGAGGTGCAGTAGGCTTGTGATTTCGGCATTTTATGGCTAGAGCGATATATGCAAGACGCTGCCTACCTGCATCCGCGTTATGAAAGTGTCCATAAACAATTTGTAAGTCAAATGCAAGTGTTGTTAAGTACCTAGAATTCAATAATTGTGTTTGTTGGTTTTAGATGTGTAGAAAGTGTTATTTGAGCAAATGTTTGGTTTCTGCAGGTTAATCCTGAAGTGAGCTGCGTGAAATTGATGTATGGGTGCATAAACAACTGTCTGGGGTACACTTTTTTTGATTGTTTAATTGATTCTTAAAAGTCTGATTTGTTTAATTGATGAGAAAAATAAGAATTATTATCATTTTTTTCTTGTTTAATTGATTTATAAAAATTGATTTGTTTAATATTGATGTGTAAATAATTCGTATTTGTACTTGTTTAATTGATTGAAATGTAAAAGTTGATTTGTTGATTTCAATATGCATCATATTGAAGGCAAAAGACCTGTTGAATGTACACTTTCGCAACGCTAAACTCAAAATCGCAATGCGAAAGCCAAAATCGCAACGCGAAAGTCAATTCACGTTGCGATAGTCTAATATGCTTTGCGATTTTCTCGTTGCGATAGTCAAACACCCGTTACGATAATCAAATTCGAGTTGCAATAGTCAAATTCGCGTTGTGATTTTCTCGTTGCGATAGTCAAATACCTGTTGCGATAATCAAATTCGTATTGCGATAGTCAAATTTGCATTGCGATAGACAAATTCGCGTTGCGATAGTCATATTCGTGTTGTGATAGTCAAATTCGCGTTGCGATTTTTGAGTTGCGATAATCAAATTCGCGTTGTGATAGTTAAATTCGCGTTGAGATAGTCAAATTCGCGTTACGATATTCAAATGAATGTGTAATAAGTGATAACAACTGAACATATCATAGCAATGTTCAAACTCAAGTTACTAATACATGCCTAACTGAAAATATTAAAAGTTTACACATAAAATACACATAATAGTCAAATTCGCGTTGCGATATTCAAATGAATGTGTAATAAGTGATAACAACTGAACAGATCATAGCAATGTTCAAACTCAAGTTACTAATACATGCCTAACTGAAAATGTTAAAAGTTTACACATAATACAACGTTTGCATTTAAAAATCACCTAAGTTAATAGTCTCAAAAGGTGAAGCTGGTTATGATTGGGATTTTGATTTTGATTGCGATTTTGATTTCTTTTTTCTTGACACCATATGAGCTTTGGATTTTGATGAGGATCCATATTTTGGTAGAGGAAAATATGATTGTGATGGCACTGGAGATCCACATGTCAACCTTATATGATCATTTTCCTTGCACCGACTACATGTCGATCTCTTCTTCTCTTCACCCTTAGACGGTATACGATCGTGACTTTTTGGTCGGCCAGGTAGCCTTCTGTCAATGACTGGTGGCAAAATTGTTTGTAAGTCATCTGGTATGTCCCACTCAGAAGGATGTGGAATATGGTAGATAATCTCGGCATAAGTCTGTCGATATACTTCTGTAGTGTAGCAATCCATAGCGTATGCGCTTGAATCATCTTGGTTTAGATGAAGAGCAACTTTTATAACATGCCCACACGGATAACCAGATGTTTGTCATTTCATACAACTACACGTCTTTGCATTTAGATCGACAAGCCCATTTAAGTTATTATCCAGTACTTCAAACAAAGTGTTTGAATATGGTTCAACTCTCCATGACGTTGACTTCACAACACGTTTCGTTATCTTTTTTTCAGTCCATGGTGTAAGACGATGTTTCAATGTTCCTGTAAATTTAAATAAATAATACTTAGTAAAATATATGATAAGTTACGAATTTAAAGAAATAATACATGCATGATTTCTTTTCTTGTAGTACAACTGTTGAATAGAGGCTCGAAAAAACTCCATTAACATAGTAATGGGTAATTTCCGGGAATGACGACTTAGAGCGTTGATTGATTATACACTATTAGACGTCATGAAACCATATCTTGCTCCAAGTTGATGTACTCTTGACCATCTTTCAAACCCGACATCTTCTAGTGTTTGAGCACACTGAGGCAAAACATGTCTTAAACAATTTATATGCTTATTAAAATCCACTTCCCGATAAGCTTTTACAGCCTTCCAGTATGTCTATTTGTGATTTTTTATAACAGCATACCTTGATTTTAGATTTCTATATAAATAAACACCACAAAGTCCATGAAAAGCATCTGGGAAACACCTTCTAATAGCGTTGTCAATTGAGTTTGCCCTATCGGATATGATTGTCAGATTGCTAATAAGACCTATGCAATCCCTAAGATGCCCCATAAACCATGTCCATGAATCAGATGTTTCAGATTTGTCAACCCTGTAAGCTATTGGCAGTATCTCATTGTTAGCATCCATGACTACTGCTAATAAGTTTACTCCAAGGTATCGACCTTTTAAATGTGCTCCGTCAACTATAATAACTGGGCGCATGCAAGTAATAAACGAACGAATCTACAAAATCATATACACAAGAAATATAATCATTTAAATGTGAAATGCATGCAACTAACAAAAATGGGTCAACAAAATTATATTGATTTACTAACCGCAACACCAATGGCGATAAACAGCAACTCAAAGCGTCCATCTCTATCTGTTTTGATATGAGTTACCGACCCAAGATTTTTTAGCTTTAAATTGTGACAATAAGCCGTCAGTTGGGCAAACGATGCTTCTGGCGACCCCCTCAACAATTTCAAGGCATAACATTTGGCTCTCCAAGCTTGAGAATATGAGATACTAATCTTGAACCGAGCATTCATGTCAGTCATAATTTCATGTCCCCGATATACCCTGCCATTCAAAAACATTAACTCAGCCAGAAAACCACCCAGCACGTTTTTGTTTGCCTGTCTATGGTGAGGAAAAACTTGGGTTCTTGAACATGTATGTTTATCAATAAAAGTCCTAACTTGAAACATTTCGCAATCTTTTATCCTCTTTGCAATCATACACCACGTACAGTTTTTGTCAATCATACACCTTGTTTCGAAACGATCTTTGCTTGATTTGTTAACTTTTAGTTGATAGCCATCTTCCACACATTTCGTATACAAAGTTATCTTCAAGTCTTCCTTTGTATCAAAACAGTCATCTTTCTTGATACGAATAATTTTTGTGTAACAATCAACTGTTATTTTTACCAACTCTTCTTCCGGTATCTGAAGTAATTCTGGCATATTCCAGATATACTCCCGTGGCATTTTCTTCGGGGACTTTTCTTCGAGGATTTCTTATTCTTCTTTTTCTTCTTCAGGGTTATATGAATTACAGAATGAATGTTCAATATGTTCATTCACAGTCGTAATTTCCTCCTCATTATCATCAACAACATCTTCCTCGGTAGCGGCTGTTTCATCATCAAAATTCAGGTATTGACCAATATCAAAATCATTACACGCAGGGTCTGTTTCTTCTTCTGAAACATCATCAAAATCCGAGTATTGACCAAGATCAAAGTCCGGGTATTGACCAAGATCAAATTTTGAATACCGACTAGTACTCACAATTTTTTCTGTTGGCTCATCATCGTCTAACTGGTTAATACGAAAACCAGAATTTGGTGCTGAAAGTTGATTGGGATTTGGATTAGGGAAAGATTGTGGGTTTTGAAATTGTGTTTGGTATTGGAAATGTGGTGAAACAAAATTTGCTTGGTGATGAAATTGTGGTGGAACCATTAAATTTTGAGCACCATAAATTGGGGTTGAAAAACTTAATTGATTACTACCCGCTACTGACCCAACTTCACTACTTTTAAGTTCAACAACATACAATGTAACATCATCTTGCGAAACACTAATGTAAGCAATGAATCGTTTAACATCTTCATTGCCGGTTAACAAATAAACTTTACCTTTTCTCTGATAAAATAGCCTAAATCCACTTAAGGGCTCTAAATTTAATTTATTTACAACACGTAACATTAGAGTTTCATAAATTAACTTTTTCATAAGTTAATTTTTTTAATAAACTTAAGGACTCTCTCTGTCTTTTTCATAAGTTAACTTTTTTAATAAACTTAAGGACTCTCTCTGTCCTGCACCAACTTTGAACGTACTCTTTTTACCAACCCCATTTTCACTCTTCTTTTAATAATTATAGAAATTAGGTGTTTTTATTAAAAAGAAAAACGATAGGATTAGGAGAGTTGAATTGGGTGTGTGAGGCTTTTAATAACAAACACGAGATTCCTTACTCAAGACAAGCCAACCCCCACGCCAAGAAGAAGAAGAAATAAGGCGCCTCTCTCTTGGACTCATTCCTATATATCACAAGGATGAGATGGGTTTTTGATTCTTCTTCTGCTTATTATCATCCATTCTTCATTGCTTGATTTTCCTTCTTCAAAGTTTACTGCACAATCTTGCTTGCTTTCTTTTTCATTAATGGCTGTTCAAGCTCAATACCCTTCCAATATCCTCCTCTTAAACAGGTTCATTCTTTTTCTTCCTTCTTTACCGTTTCTTATCTTACTTTCCTCTTCCTTTTTTTTGTTGATTATGGGTTTAAATTTTCAGAGGTGGACAAGAGGAGCATGAGTTTTCACTGCAGCAACAAACAGGAGGAGTTTTCATTGATCAATCTCATATGTTTTCCAACAACAATAATACGAGGAAAAGAGGAAGAGAAGTTGCAATAATAACGCCAATCAATTCTTTCTCTTTGCAAACACAACCATCCCAGTTGATAGACCTTTCTCAACTTCACCAACCAAATGCAGTCTCCACCGGCCTCCGGTTATCCTCCGGCGACCAACAACAAAACTTACAGCAAACTCAAAATCATTGTTATCCCCAACAACAACAATTAAGTCTTCTTTCAAACTCCTTTGATGATTTGGGTACCCAAATCCAACGCCAGAGAGAAGAACTAGACCAATTCCTTCAAGCCCAGGTACCAAGTTGTCTCTTTTAAGAACTGTGTGTTTTCTTTTTCCTTTTGTTTGTTGGGGAAAATGTAACTTTGGGTTAAAGGGAGAGGAATTGCGGCGTGTCTTGGTGGAGAAAAGGCAAAGGAACTACCGTGCGCTACTGGGAGCGGCGGAGGAATCGGTGGAGAGGAGGTTGAGGGAAAAAGAAGCGGAAGTGGAGAAAGCAAAGCGTCGAAACGCCGAGTTGGAGGCACGCGCGGCACAAGTCAGAGTGGAGACACAGGTTTGGCAGGCAAAGGCGATGGCGCAGGAGGCGACGTCGGTTTCGTTACAAGCGCAGCTCCAAAAGGCTATAATGAGCGGAGGGGCCGCTGTGACGCACGATGGCAAAAGAGGGAACGATGGGCTGAACTGCGCGGGTGGGATGCAAAGGCAGGCGGAAGACGCCGAGTCTGCTTATGTGGACCCGGACCGGGTAGTTCTGACGGGACCGGCCTGCAAGGCGTGTGGGACATGTGTAGCATCGGTGGTGGTGCTGCCGTGTGGGCACCTTTGCCTTTGTACAGAGTGTGATAGAGTGGCCGAAGCCTGCCCCCTTTGCCTCACCGTCCGTAATTCTAGCGTTGAGGTTTTGCTTTTCCCTTGAAAGTTTTCCTTTTTCAAAGGAAAAAAAATTGAAAATAACCTTCGAGTATAATAATAATCTGTTTACCTTATTTTTACTTTTCGGAAATTAAATTCTTTTATTTGATAAATATAATTTGGTCTTAATTAATTAATGTCGAGAATGATTTTTTTTATTTTTTAACGATCGTGAATATAAATTAATATATGTTTAGAATTATTTTTAGTCATTAATAATGTACATATACTTACAGACGTAACTGTTTGAACTCATAATTTTTGGAAGGAATAACGTTCTCTTAATTATGTAGGTCACTTTGATGAGTTTAGAATTAAATATGTTAAATTTAATGATAATAATTTAACTCAAAACTGATGAATTTATATCTGATCCAATATGATAGGATCAAATTTTAAAAAAAAATTAAGTTCATGTCGGGTGGGGTCGATTTTATATAGAGATGAGATCAGGTCAAATGGAAGGTGAAAAACCTCTGACTTAGGAGTAATAGTTTAATTTTTTATACAAATTTATAGATAATTGCTATACTACTCATCTCTCACTATAGTTTTTTTTTAATTAGGTTTATGTCTAGTTGGTTCAAATAGAATTTATATTCAAAAAACTCATGTTGAATCAGGTTCGGGTGGAGGTCGGGTCAAGTCGGGTGAAAGATAAATATTTTAAGTTAAGTCAATTCGAGTGAGAGGTATATGTATATTTCGAGTCGAGTCGAACCCGGCCCAATCTCACATGTCGCGATCTCTAATTAAATTGTTTTAATTTTGCATAGTTAGTTCTTTGTTGCAACGGTTTTAGTATTGGAAACTCAAACGTTCAGTTTATTTTGTTAATTTGGCTGCATTGTTTTAGACAACATCTTGTGTCAATTTAGCACTTGTTTTCTTCCGTTTGTCTTTCGGAATTAAACTTTCCAAATAGCTTAATGCCAAACAAATTCTTAAAAAAGAAATAACCATATCAAGTATCTAATAATAATAGTTCAAAGGGTTAATTAAAGGACTCAAGTGAGGCAAATATATAGGCAAATCCCACCTTTTTTTTTAATTTATATGAACACCCAGTTTTCAAGTTGAAGCCATCTCATATGCGCTATTATTCCCATACCTTGTACTGCTGAAGATGCTAAAACAGAGTATATATCAAAGAATGCTAATGGCATATCATCTATATTTTCATTTCACTGAAATCCCATGGTTATATACCATATCTCCAGAGAAAACCCTTTCCTTCGGAGGAATTTCACAAACCAAAATCTTTGGGGTTATTTTTACTTTATTCACGGATTGAACAGAGTAAAGAAATGGGAAATTTCCCTCTTTTTATGCCAACTCAATTATCGAAGGAAAAATCAATAAATGAAAAAGGAGGAGCAGTCACATTGGCCGAATTTCAAGGTTTGATTAATGTCGTAATTATAAATAGTATGTTCAAAGATAACTCTCAACGTTTTAACATTAAACATCTTTGGGGTTATTTTTACTTTATTCACGGATTGAACAGAGTAAAGAAATGGGAAATTTCCCTCTTTTTATGCCAACTCAATTATCGAAGGAAAAATCAATAAATGAAAAAGGGAGGAGCAGTCACATTGGCCGAATTTCAAGGTTTGATTAATGTCGTAATTATAAAATAGTATATGTTCAAAGATAACTCTCAACGTTTTAACATTAAACACTCGCACCATTATCATTCATAGTGCTTGAACTCGATACCTCTAAACTTGTTTTTGCAGTATAGATTGGATCACAGGCATTACCAAATTTATTATACTTCAACTCAGTTTCAGCCTTAGCGGTTAAGCTGGAATCTGATTGTGATCACATGCTCATCACATCGCGTTGTCCACTGAAATTCGCCTTTTATATTTTTCCTTTGCTCACACAATATCAAACTCGGTCATAGAATGGTTGTTTTCTAATTCCTTGGGAAATATCTAGCGAGTGTGATGAACTTGTTGATGGCTTCAACGTCTAGACCACGAAACCAAAGGGACCATTATCAAAATGGTTGTTTTCATGGCGAAGGAAATCAAACAGACAACAAATGAAATCTCAAGGCTGTCAAATGGGACAACATATACATGACAATATTTGTATAATTGTGTATATGCCCGCATGTTCTCATCAATTGCTCCGTCCCATGTCTTTAAAAAACCCACACAAATGAAAAACAAGTATGAGGACAATGTAGATGTACCTAGAGATGGTCTTATAGATATTTTTTCCTTTGGACCAAAAGTAAAATTTACAAAAATCAAGGGTCTCTCTCAATTGATAAAAACTTTATATAACTCAAATTAATCTAAAGATAAATTTTCGACACATCTATTATGGGGTGACCATCTTAATTCAATTTTTTTCTATTTACAATATCAGTATTTGAATTATTAACTTTATTTAAAATATTTAGTGTTTTATCTCACTAAATCAACTGATTGTTAATTATAATATTTTTTTTTAAAAAAATCAATCATTTTTATTTTTTTTCTTTTGAAAGTGGAAGACAGATATTATTGTCCCTTACTTCTACATCGTTATTATTGTTATCACCAAATAATCTTTTTTGAAAACATCTTGTCATAAAACACACATCTTGATAGATAACAATAATAATGTTGGGTTTTGGTCCTCTCCATGAATGAAATAAAAATGTATTGATATTTGATCATATCAATTAGGGACTAAACGTGTGCTAGGCTTTAAAAGAGCAATGTGAGCTGGTTTGGGGAATTAAATCCAATGGCTATAGAGGCAGAGAGATGATGGTTTTGGGGGTCCTTCGAAATAAATTTGATTGTATATTAAGTTATATAGAACAAGAAAAATGATAAAATTATCTTTAAAAAATAATTGATGGATTAACATATTTGTTTGATAAGTGTAAAAGTATAAGACATATAATAATAAAAATATAAATATAAATGTTGTTATTTGTTGATGTTTTTAATAGAACATTTTAAGTGAAATAATTTTAAAATTTAAAAGATATAAATTTAATAGGATAGAAGAAGTACTATTTTAATTTTTTTTACTCAATAGCAAATTGGAGACGGCAAATCTGCTTTGTTCTGGGAGGATTGGTGGTGTGGAGAAAAACCTTTGAGAATTATCTTTCTTCGACTGTATAGGTTATCATTGTTTAAAGGAGCACATGTGGCCAATTTAATCGAAAATGTTGAATGTAGGAACGTGGAGTGGGGTACAACTTTCTCAAGGACTTTGTTGGATAAGGAATGACTTATGATTGAGGAACTAGTTAAAGTAACAGTGTGTGTTAAAATATTATCGAACGTGGTAGATAAATCGAGTTGGATTCATGATAAAGCAAGATATTTTTCAGTGAAAAAAACTTGCGCAGTTGGTGGTAACTGTTGGGGTGGAGGAGCCGAATTTGACTTCGACAGGTTATGAAAATTGAAAGTCCTTCCTAAAGTTGAAAGTTTTTTGTGGACATTGAAGATTGATCGACTGCCGAAAAAGGAATTTTTGGATAGGATGGGTGTTGAATGCGATATAGAGCAAAGTTTTTGTGTATTTTGTAGATCAATTTCTAAAACTGCAAACCATTTGTTTGTTGGCTGCTCTTTCATTGGAAGATTTTGGAGGCTGTTTTGTAATCGATGGGAGGATGCCGAAAATGTTTCAAACCTGTATCTTTTTTGTATTAATCTTCCCTTCACAGGTTTGCAGCACAGTCTTTGGTCGATAGCCGTGGCAGCAGCAATATGGAGTATCTGGCTTATGCGTAATCATATTGGTTTTGAGGTTAAATCTGCCAGTATAAAGGATTTGTCTTTTTATACAAAATCGAGTGTATCGAAGTCTTGTTCTCCCTAGCTGTGGGTTGCTCCATCAACTGGTTCGATCAAGTTTAACGTGGGTGGTGTAGCAAAAAAGAGGGCAGCTGGGTGTGGAGGTGTTCTCCGTACAAGGGAGGGAATTAAAATGAATGAATCGTATATGACCGTCACAACTAAATATTACTATCAACAAATTAAATAGAATGTTTTAAAGTGTAAAATCAATGTAAGTACTATTATTTAGTACAATTTTCATCGAACTTGACTTCTAGTTTCTTCTCCTACATCTCACAAATTAACAAGCAAAACAATGTATAAGGACTAGAGCACGATGTAAAAGAGATTTGGATTGAAAGGGATATTAAAATCACTTTCAAATATGACCCCCCAAAAAGGAAAAAAACTATATTGAATCACAAGACAAGATAATTCATTATCCATGAAGAAGCATATGACTATAATCAAGTCTAAAACAGGAGGAGTTTGATGTTTGGTAATAAAAAGATTCACGAGCTAAGTAGCAGACTACCCCATTTCATTAATTAACAGTCCAACGTTAGGGTATAATGGGTGACAGATGCTTCACTCAAATCCAATCTGTCCTTTTGGGTGAATTTTGAATGGTAAAATATCAAAGTTGAAAAAGGTATCTGAGCATTTCACCCATTTCATTTAGAGAAAATCGCCTCAGTGACCAAAAATGCCTTATAATATACGATTTTAACCAACTTTTTTTTGATTTGCCAAAATGACCAACAAAATCGCAACGCGATATCAAAACCGCAACGCGATTTAGAAAAGCGCAACGTTGAAAAGAAGATCGCAACGCGATTCAGAAAATCGCAACGCGATCTTCCAAGAATCGCAACGCGATTAAGAAAATCGCAACGCGATTCCAAGAATCGCAACGCGATTTAGAAAATCGCAACGCGATTCCAAGAATCGCAACGCGATCCAGAAAATCGCAACGCGATTCCAAGAATCGCAACGCGATTCAGAAAATCGCAACGCGATCTTCCAAGAATCGCAACGCGATTAAGAAAATCGCAACGAAAATGAGTAAATTCTTTCAAAAGTTGTTGCATTTGTTTCTTTCTTAAGAATTTTCTCTAAAAAGATAGTATCCGCGCGGACGTGTCGAAGACACGTATTACCACTACCACTACCACTACCACTACCACTACCACGACCACTACCACTACCACGACCACGACCACGACCACGACCACGACCACGACCACGACCACGACCACGACCACGACCACG